AAGAGGTTGTTTTGGGGTGTTTTTCTTCAAGTCCCATCTGTTCCGAGTTAGTTTAGGAACCTCCCTCCCCAGCAGCGAGTTCTGCCGTGGTGATAAACATCCCTTTTTCATCCCCAAGAGCTCTGCAGAGGGGAGAGAGGGCAGGATTTAAACACCACCCAAAGCCAGCAGCCCAGACGCCACCGTTTGCAGCACGGAGCAGTGGGGGGGGGGAGGCAGGGAGGGGGCCAGGCCCCCCTGCAGTGCTGCCAGCCCAGCTCCAGCAGCCTGGAGAGGAGGGCAGAGCCACGAGGAGCTGCAGGACCCCTTTGGGCAGGGCTGTAGGCGAGCAGGGCCCAGTACCTCTTCTGGGGAGGAACGTGGGGGTCAGGCTCTAGCTGTGGGCTTGGTGAAGTGGGTCCAGGTCCCAGCTGGTTGGTCACCTCTGGGCTGGTTTTTGATGCCCCCAGCCCGTGGGTGTGGATTCTGAAGCTGTGGGGTCTCTGGGGGACTGGCAGAGGTGTGATGGAGTGGGAAGTCACTCTGACTTTCCCCGAGAACACCCCACTCTTGGTATTGGAGCCTCAAAAATGTACCTTTAAAGCATTACAAATTAAGCCCATTTAAGCTCTCTATTACTTGCCTTCGGCTGTGAAGGAGGGAAGGTGACTAAGCTGAGCTGCAGCCCACTGGGAGCCTGCAGAGGTGTTTGACCAGGGCAGGGGCCAGTTCCCCCCTGCCACGATGGCTGCCCCATATTTCAGCTCAAACACCAAGGCAGTGGTGGGAAAGGACTGGGCACAGCAGGAGCCTTGAGAACAAAACCACTTTCTCCAGCTCAAAGCAAATGGCAGCAATCACTGGGACATCAGGCACAGAACTGGGGTTTGAAGGAACTTGTGGAGATCTTCTTGTCCAGCCTCCCTGCTCCAGCAGCTCACCCACAGCAGGGTGCCCAGGGTCACAGCCAGGTGGGTTTGGGATCTCTCCAGAGCAGGAGACTCCACAGCCTCTCTGGGCAGCTGCTCCAGGCTCGGGCACCTCACAGCAAAGTTGTTTTCCCTTGTGACAGTTTCCAAACGTGTGGCTGTGACTTTGCCCTGTGCTGCTGGGATGTTCCAAGCCCGTGGCCTTTGGGTTGGTCGGTGTGCTGTGGATTTTGCAACAGCTCTGTGTGTGTTCCCAAAGTGCTGAGCTAAAAGGTGCCTTATAACATTTACTGCTCTCCTCAGCCGTGGGCTGGGGTCAGTGTGGGGCAGGAGCCGAGGGCGGGGAGCAGCCGATGCCCGTAAAATGGTGTGGGGGGAGCGGAGGGGGGGGACCAGCCGATGCCCGTAGCTGTTCCTTGGCTGGCAGAAGAGTGTGGAGAGCCTCAGGGGTGAAGGAGATGACAGCTCTTTTAGGAAAGTTATCTTTTAGGAACGCTGATGGGCTGAAAAGGTTGAAAATAATGACTTTGGAGGGGAACTGGTGCAGGTGTTTGGCCGTGGATGAGGAGACCGGCAGCGGGATGGCAGCTTGGGATGCGGAGAGGTTCACCTCCCTCCAGGCCTCTGCCATTAATGGGACACCTCCTCCCCACCCTGCTTCAAAGACAACTCCCTGCTCTTCTCAGCCTCCAAAATCCTTGCTTCTCTAAGTCGGTGAGCTTTGGAAGGAGCCCTTCTCTTCCCTGGTGTGCCCATTGCTGTCCCTGCCCAGGGCAGAGCGTTCCTGCTGCGGCGACCTCGGCCTGGCGCGCTCCGACACAGGTCAGAGAGCAAAGCTAAACCCTGCACTCCCCACAAAGACTGGGCTGCTGCACTTTGAGGGGGGGGAAGAACTAGAACGTGTAGTTTTTTTGAATGCAGATCAAAAGAAATCAGGTGTGCAAACGTGTACTGATAAGATTTTAAAATCTTAATCTCCGCTTAGTCCGTGGAACCTGCTCCTGGTTAAAGCACTTATCGTATTCCTGACATCTTGTAGCTCAGTAGCAATTATTCAGTTCCTGTACATTTAACTCAGAAAAAAGAAAAGATCAATAAAGTGTAAGGCTGTCAGCTGCATTGTAAAGACATAATGTACACTGTAATGTCAGTAATAAACTTTGTTTTCCCATGTACTGGTTGCTCGTTCCTCAGCTGTTTGTAGGGAGCTTCAGGGTGGAATTACAGCACCTTATAAACTTTGCTTCCTCCCTTGCCTGTTTAAAGAGGAGCTGAAATTCTTCCTTTGAAGCTCTACAATGAAGCCAGTGCTGCCCTTTCTTTGAAGAACAAAACACAGTGAGGGTCCATGGCCCTTCTGTCAGCTTTGGAGGCACGTGCTAGCCCGGCTCCCGTGGCCCCTGTAAGTAACCCCTGCTGGCACACAGAACCTATGCTATGTGGGCCCAGCCCCTGCTCTTCTGTCACAGGGGTCCCATGGTTGCTCCTCCAGGCCATGGACTCCTCTGGTCCTGGCTCCTGGAGCCTTTGCTGCCCCCTGGTCAGGGCAGGCAGGTGGCTCTCAGCTGGCAGGGCTGGTTGCTGTGGTCTCAGGCTTTAGTGAGGCCACCCCAGCCCTCCTCCCCCTGCCTGCCATAGCACAGATGCCAGCAAACCTCAGGGGTAGAAAAAACCCAACCCACCACCTTTATTAAACATATACTTACAAGCAGTAGCTACTCCCCTAGGACAAAGCCTTTTCTGCAGCTCCCTCCTGCATGGCACAGCCGGCTGCTCTG